TAAGTGGTGTCTGTACAAGGAGAATATGTTGTATTGCAAAGTAACCTTAAAGAAAAAAATACAATGTATCAGACTTTTTACTAAACAATGGATTTTATCCAATCTGTGATACGCTGTGATGAAGCACTAATCTCAGAAACCCACTTCCACTGTAGTCCCTTATAGAAATAGCGTAATGCTACCCACAACATGACTTGATAACAATGATGACCAGAAATGTAATAATCAAGGTAAATGTAAGACTTGATAAACAACATAGAAACTGTTTAAAAACAACACACAAATAAAATTACCTGTTTTATTCACATACATACAATTACAGGGTAAAATACACTATTTGATTTGAATAGATTCAAGATGAAGATGATTTTTTTTCAGATTACAACAGGTATTTTTTATATAAGGCAAGTTTATTAAAAGAGCACCATACATACATGAAGCGATTCATAGTGCTTTAGTGAATTTTATTCTCAGTGGATGTTGAGTCAGAAATAGGGTTAGAGGGTAACTTAAAATGACTAAAATACATTTCCAATGAGAGAGTAATTACATTGTGTAACAATAAAGGTCAGAGATCACAGTATTGAGAAGCTATGGTTATTTCTTGTGCACACAAAACAAATGACTTCTAGTGAAACCAGTCCAGTGGCATTCCATTTATGCTTATGTCCTAAACAATGGAGATTGCTAGCTTTCTCCACAGATTAAGTATTGTGCACGCATGAGACAAAACATAGTGACAAGATGTCACTTGCTCTCGCTTACGTTTAGGTAACACAAATGGAGCCATCATGGTGAGAGTCCCACAGGAACACATGTTAAATACCAACAAAGTCATGGTATTTTTCATGAACCATTACTGTTATCAAATTGACATCATTACACAGAGCAATCACAACCTTTGGCAATGTATGCACAGTGGATGTTATGTAAGCAAGAACTGATAATTCTATTTAACATAATCAGGTAAGACAAACAGAGCTGTCATGGTGAGTGTCCAACAGGATTGCGATGTGAAAAACCAACAAAGTCAAGGCTTTTTTTCTAATTATAAAAGGATTTCTTTGGAAAAACAAAAATACATATATTGTAATAGAATTTACAGAATTACGACGAGCAAGTCAGAAAAGTGTTGGCCTTTGCAAAGTCAAACAAGGTGCTTCAAAATTGTGGTAGTAAATCTATCAAGATTTTTAATGGTTTTTCCCAAGCTTTGTTTTTTTCATTAATACTTCATTGTTACCGGAAAGTCCCAATAAACTAACATACAGTTAAATATGATTAACAATCAACATTTCTATAAATACTTAACCAATACCAAAGAAACATGATTTTGTGAAATTAAAGCTTGCAGAGATGATCAAAGTTTCAAAACCATAGTAATGATTGGTTTAATATCTGAGTCTGTATCGAAACTGAACATCTCCGACAGGCTGCATAGATCCAAAACCCCACCGCCTGAAATCAATTTCCGGTATCTTCTCATCCGGGTTCTTGAGCTCAAACTCAAAATAGACCAGCATGAGGAAAACAAACTGTTTCAGCTCATTGGTGGCAAAAAAACGTCCAGGGCACATGGAGACCCCGGCACCCCAGGGCATGTTGTAATACTTCACCTTCTTCCCTGCTTTGTAAAAATCTGTTTTCTTGGATCCGTCTGGATTCAGGAAGCGGTCAAACTTGAATGAGTGTGGGTCAGGGTGGATCTCTGGGTCAATGTGAACTGCAATGTAAGGGAAGAGTGCAACTCTGTCTCCCTTGCGGACAGAGTACTCACGTCCGTCGGCCATCTTCAGGGTCATATCCTGGAGCACAGCTCTTGTCAGAAGGGGTGCAGCGGTGAGTCGCAGGGTTTCTTCCACAGCACTGTCTAGGATTGGTGTTTTTAAAAGCATCTCACGTGTCAGGTCGAGTAGAGGACTACCACGGTTGACTTCCTGTCCAGACTCCCTCACAACCTTATCGACCTCTTCCTTCACTGCTGCCATAGCTTCTGGATGCTTCATGAGGTAGAGGAGCAGCCAGAATGCAGATGGCCCGGTGTTCCCCTGAGAGGCCCACAGAAGCACAAACATGTACCTGTCTATCATCGTCTCACTGTCACCCGAGTCTTCTTTGGCCTGCTGCATGTCCCACACCCAGCGACTGATGTTGTCTTTCATTTTCATTTTCTGCACTGACAGAGTGTTCCAGAAGTTTCCCAGAAGCCTCTCTGCTTCCATCCTTCCTCTCGGTGTCAGGACCCCATAAGCCAGGTTGGGGAATAGCTGGTCATATTTACGGAACTCGTAAAATAGGGCCTCAGATTCGACTCTGTCTTTCTCTTTAGCTTTTTCCTCACTTCCTTCTGACTTGTGTGGCCTGTTACCATAAAGAGACAAGTAGCCAGCCCTAAAGACAATATTGTAGCTGTACATAAACAGTCCGTCTTCCATCCAGGTCTTTTGGTCTGTAGCTGATCCCATAGTGTGCAACATCAGGTTCTGCAGATTGCTCATCATAGCTTGTGTCATTATCTCCAGGCCATCCCCTTTCAGGTGCTTGTTGCTGGAAATCTGGAGAACGGTGTGGTCGCTCTTTTCCGCTTTGTAGCCAAAAACTCTTTGCACCAGATGCACAGCAAACTCATTGAAGTCCAGTTTATCTCGACTCTCCTTCACAAGCGCCCCAAACGACAGAGGGTCTTGAAAGAATGTAATGTAAAACCCTCCCAGCTGTACTGTGAAAACGTCACCATGCTTCTGCTTCATTCTTTCCAGAAACTTCAATGAGTTCCTGCGAAACTCCAACACATGACCCAGCCAAGGGATGAGCCCCTTATCCAGAGGAGGCTCTCCTGGTCTACGTTGTCGAAACACCCCGAGGAGGTACAGCCCTCCCATCAGAGCAGCAAGAATGCTCAGAAGGACCGGCAGCAGCAGCCCCATGACTGATTTCTCTTTGAGCCACACAGGGATTTGGAAGGAACGTCCAAATCCAGCATGATAAGGAGTATGTTGCTCCTCCCTTTGTTTCCACCCTCAAGCATTCCAGGAACTTATTAACCCTTTACCATTTAAAGAGGAAACAGTGAGATTCACACAGACCTCAACAATTGCATTAATTTGTGTACAACCTGCTTAAACTGTAAAATAAATGTTAAAAATACTGTTACTTAAGGCAATTTGTTAACTGAATCTTTTTAAGCCTTATAGTATTTGCATTTAAAGCAACAGCCAAGAAAAAAATATGATCAAAATTGTGAACAGAGTTTTATAAATGTCAGTGCAGTATGGAATCCTCTGCTATTTTAATATGTCTAAATGTAGTGCAAATTTGGCTGAGTCAGGGTTTTTGTGTCTAAAGGTATACCATCATGTGAAAGTTTCTGATAAGGAGCACATACTCAAAGTCACATGGAATACATACGTCAAACTATAGGTCATTAGGTTTTCAAAGTTGGTGCACAGAGCTGGGGAGTGTGGTTTTAAATTCTGTTTTTTATTTATTTGTGCTCTAAAAAATCTAACATTCTACTGATTTAGTTTGTTCTTTTTATATACGCTGTTATAACCAAGTAAACAAAGGTTTTAATTTCTAGCATTGTCAGAAATGTTTAGGTAAAATAGTGTTAGCAAAATAATATACTCTTGCCATACGTGAATTGTCCCGTTATGCAGATTGGCTCATGACAGAATAAATGTTTTATAATATAGTCAGCTTTTAATTGAGCTGGTAAAGTCTATTTGAAACTGCTGGGTAGCAAGTGGATTACCCCACACAGCCTATAGATGTCTACCTAAATGAAATATTTCCCCCTTTTTTTATTCTTAATTGGAATATGAAAAGTAAATTATGTTATCATGTAGAGAAGCAGAAGTATGTACTATAAAAAGGAACATACTACAGTAAATAACTTGTATCTCAAAACGTCAGTAATATTCAAATTTGCTTCTTTATTTGCACCACAGGTTTGAAAAATGGTTGTTCCCTATTTTATACCAACATTTCAGACCTATCAGGGGAGGATGTAATGGTGATGTTCACCAGGCAGGTAAAGTTATTGATCTCTGGGAGGCATGTAAACATGAAACCCAAATAATTTGATATTTAGTCAGATTTAGTCAGTAAGGCTTTTCTAACTGACAATCTGAAAATGATTTGATGAAAGAAAGTTAAAAATAAATGACAATTAGGATGAGGAATTGTGGATAATATAACTCAGGTTTCCCTCAAACTTTCAGATTGAAAGAGAAGTAATACCCCTTATGCATCTGAGTGGATTTGTTTTAAAATAAAGAAAATGGCATCATTCTTCCCATTTTTTGAGGGGGATGAACCCCCTTGACCCAACTCTAACTTAGACCACCCCAGAATTTTGACTTGCATCTTGCTGATAATTACATGTTCGAGATTCAATACTTTCTCTTTGCATGATGAAAAAAAATACTTTCTCTTGATGATGATGAAAAAAAAAAAAACAATTAAGTCAAATAATATTTATTCTCAACGGATGTCAGTTGCAATCTTTTATTTATTTTTTTAAATCTATGCTGCAGAGAGTCTTCTACTTGGTCTGTAGCACTGCTGAGTTTTATGAGTGAACATCTAGCACCACCTGCTGGATCCTTGCTTAGGAGATCCCCAAGAATCCAAGAGTAAGGATAAACAAGAGCAGCCAAGATGGAGGTCTTGAATTGGACAAGTTTCCCTTTATTAGAAATGAAGTTATTTATTGGAAGCTGCAATTGATTCGATGAATCTGTTACATCCCAATATAGAGTTTCATACCATAGGTAAGAAAGATTAAATATTCAACTCAAGTCTATAGCTATTAAGTGGCTAAAATGCTAAGTTTCCTAAGTATTTAGACCACCTTGTGAAACTAGTGACAATAAATAGTTACAGGTTGACTTTAGGGGTCTGAAATTTGCGTTCAGGCATACATTCCTGGTTAGATTGATTGCATTGAGATGCAGCCAGAGCAACACCGAAAGAGACAACACCTCTGCTCTGTGTCTCTAGGCCAGTTTGCCCCCAGAAGGCAAATCTAACGCACAGCCTCTTATCTTCCCCTGAGAGGCCCACAGAAACACAAACATGTAGCTGTCTATCATCGTCTCACTGACACCCATCTCTTTTTTGCCCAGCTGGATGTCCCACACCCAGCGACTGATGTTGTCTTTCATTTTCATTTTCTGCACTGACAGAGTGTTCCAGAAGTTTCCCAGAAGCCTCTCTGCTTCCATCCTTCCTCTCGGTGTCAGGACCCCATAAGCCAGGTTGGGGAATAGCTGGTCATATTTACGGAACTCGTAAAATAGGGCCTCAGATTCGACTCTGTCTTTCTCTTTAGCTTTTTCCTCACTTCCTTCTGACTTGTGTGGCCTGTTACCATAAAGAGACAAGTAGCCAGCCCTAAAGACAATATTGTAGCTGTACATAAACAGTCCGTCTTCCATCCAGGTCTTTTGGTCTGTAGCTGATCCCATAGTGTGCAACATCAGGTTCTGCAGATTGCTCATCATAGCTTGTGTCATTATCTCCAGGCCATCCCCTTTCAGGTGCTTGTTGCTGGAAATCTGGAGAACGGTGTGGTCGCTCTTTTCCGCTTTGTAGCCAAAAACTCTTTGCACCAGATGCACAGCAAACTCATTGAAGTCCAGTTTATCTCGACTCTCCTTCACAAGCGCCCCAAACGACAGAGGGTCTTGAAAGAATGTAATGTAAAACCCTCCCAGCTGTACTGTGAAAACGTCACCATGCTTCTGCACACAGGGATTTGGAGTGAACGTCCAAATCCAGCATGATAAAGAGTATGTTGCTCCTCCCTTTGTTTCAACCCTTACGCATTCTGGGAACTACATAAACCTTTACCATTTAAAGAGGAAACAGTTAGATTTGCACAGACATCAACAACGGAATTCATTTTCGTAAAACCTACTTCAACTGTTAATAAACAGTTATGTTAGACAATTTTTTTTTTTTTTAATCTTGTATTTTTGAACCTCAGTAAGTGCATTTAAATTAACACAGTGTAGAAAACATGAATTGTCTCTTTGAGCAATGCACTCAAACTGTCAAAATTACATTTTTTTATAAAGGTCCCTGCAGTATACAAATCCTCTGCTATTTTTGAGATGCACATGATGACAGACTAAGTCTTAAAGTAGGGCACATTTGGCTGAGTAAAAGTTTTTGTGTATAAAAGTATATCATCATGTAGCCTACACATTTTTGATGAGCAAATCACATGGAATGCATATCTCAAACTATAGGTCATTAGCTGTGGCGGCAGGTCAATAGGGAGCGCTAGGCCACTCCCCGCAAGGACAATAACCATAGACTGTAAATAATAATGGACGAAGCCTGAGTGATGTCACCTGCTGCTGGAAATGCTGTCTCAACTTTCAGGCAAGAGCTGGAGCTGAGTCGGGTCTTTAGCCAGTAAGGTCAGCTATGCACCTTACTGTGAATAACACTCATCCTTCATAATCAAAACAGATGAGTTAGGAAATAATTCACTCTCTGAAGAGTGTCTGCCGATGGAGACATGAGCCAATCAGATCAATATTGTTTCTTAACCAAGCTCTAAACATGTTCATTTCTGCTGTAAAAACTGGCTTTTAAGAATGGGTGTGGATGTGACTTCTATTGCTTCTGCAGACAGCCTCAAGCGGACACTCGACGTAATTCAGGCTTTTGCCATTCCGCATTGGTTTAATTTTTTAAATCCAGAGGTTGCTGCTTGAGAATGACAGACCTTCACTGAATCATAATTTTTTTTGATTAGTATTCAATAATGGCTATACAGGTTCATTTTAAGAGGGTAAAGTCAATTTGGTGTAGTAATTGAATTAAATCGTAAAATCTGCGATAAATTTAGATATAAAACGTTCTACGTCAAGTTACTGATTGGTGACATGTTTCGCTCTTGGGCACCAGATTCCAGGGATCAGGGCCCCCATTGGCTTGCTTTGTAAGTTGCACAAAAGCATTTGTTCCTGTTCAACACAAGAGGTAGAAGCTTAAATAGGTGGTGGAAAAACGGAGAGGGTCCATGCTGCGGATTGTGGAATGGGGCCGACACAGATCCTTGTCCATGTTCTTATTTGAAAAGCCCCTATATATACGCACCAGCCACCACTGGTCTTAGGTAGGCTACTTGTCAAAGTTGGTGCACTGAGTTGGAGAGTGAGGTTTTAAATGATGTTCCCTTATTTGTTCTTTAAAAAATGTAAGATTCGGGGTGCTTGTGGTTAGAACGCGCGCCCCATGTATGGAGGCTGTGGGCCTCCATGCGGACGGAGGTCCATATTCAAATATGACCTGTCCTTTCCCGCATGTCATTCCCCACTCTCTCTCTCTCCCTGATTTCCGACTCTGTCCACTGTCCTATCTCTCCAATAAAGGCACAAAATGCCCAAAAATAAATCTTTAAAAAATGTAAGATACTACAAGTGAAAAGTTGAACTTCCAAAAGTATGGTGAACAGTTTTCTTCTTTTTTCTTTTCAGCTGTTACAGCCATTACACAAAGGATTACATTTTAGGGTTCATTTTCAAAAGGCAAACAGATATGATTTATATAACTGCTCTTGCATCTATTACATCCACAGATCAAATACACCAAACCCCTTTATAATACTGCAAAGTGCAAAGACTGTCAACAGAACCCTGACTAATGTATTCACTGTTAATGAAAGTTAATCATCACTTCATTCAGACCTTGAAAACATGACTTTATACTGCACAAGTCCAATGACCTTTGATTTGTGCAAATATTCAAAACCTCTACTGAGTCTAACAGGTTAACACAAATTATTTGAGTCTATATTTAGTCAGAGCGGCTGTCATCTAGGGTTTAAAATCTGCAGTGGAGGGTCATCTGTTTGCTCTGGATCACTGCTAAGTTAAATGAGTGGACCTCTAGCACCACCTGCTGGATTACTGAGTTCAAAACCGCAGACTTCGCTGTAAAACCAAATTCTGTAGGCGCATCAGTGGCCTACTATTATTGTATGTTTACTTCCTCCTTGCTTGAGGGATCATAAGAGTGAGGACACACAAGAGCAGTCATCTCGGAGGTCTTTTACCAACTTTCCCTTCATTAGATATCAAGTCATTTATTGGAAGATTTGAGTTCATCATCATACATGTAGCAGAGAAAACTGATGAATATCCTGGAGCAGTGACACTGTGACCACATATTCAGTCTCCATAGATTATTCCTCATGACATAAACTTTCCTTAAAAAAAACAAGTAAATATGGGACTAAATATTTATTAATGATTACTAAACGATCAAAGAGAACCTTTTTTATAAACATCTTACAAGACATTGTACTGGGGGAGATATGCTCTATATTTACAACATTGCTGCAGTCCTGTGACCTAGTTGAATAAGGGAGTTTGGTTTATAACAGTTCTTTTTATTACAGGGACACTTTGTCTTTCAATAAGGCAAAGTGAGGAACTACCACAGCTCTGTTACAATACAGGTTTGGTTAGTAATTTACAATCTTGCGTCTCCATTAGCGGAAAAGTTACACCGTTTAAGTGATTATAAATTGTGTAAATGAAATTATGTTCATAAAGAGTTGTCAGGAAGATGAATGTTTGTCGACCCCAGCACACTTTCATGCATCTCTGTTCTTTCATCTACAGTCCATCAGGGTCTGGTTGGTGCAAGCTAAGTAAGAACAGATACATCATAATTGCATGAATGAAACGTCACATGCTCATTAGGTCTTCAAAGCTGTTTCTCTTGAGGCACCTTTCATTTTCTTGGTCAGGTTTAAACTCATATCTCGAGTGTAAAAAGAAAAGTGTAGCCTGCTTCATGAGGCTAAAGTTCATTTTGTTTATGACAATCCATTTATATAGACACGAACAATACCTGATTACTCAAAAAAACATACAAACCCAAACTTCCCCATGATGATACTAAGTTGTTGCCACATTTAAAAAACAAACAATTGACCTCTTGTGTGCAAACCTGCTACAAAAAGCACCACTTTAATGCAATATAGGTAACTGGGTTCACAGCGCCGCCCAGTGGTCAAGTAAACAAAATACATGTCAAATGCATAGACTGTAAATATTGGTCAAATGGCTTGCATGGTACTAGGCCTATTTCGCGGCCAAATATATTTTCATTAAAACCCGATATGAGCAAGATGCTCTTATTTCGATTCCATAGGCCTGTGCTGATTTGGTTTGTTTTATTATTAATATTTAAAAAACAACATTGTAACAACAATACAGCTGCAGTTACTTAGACTAGACTAGGCCTAGTCCCCCTCTCCCCACACGCACGCGCGCGCGCACACACACACACACACGCACACGCGCACACACACACACACACACACACACACACACACACACACACACACACACATTAGTTCTCAGGCTGATACCGCACGTTGCAGAAACGTGCAACCACGAGCCCTCTTGACCCACGCCCACTGTTACGTCATCCCAGAGATCAATGCAGTAATCAAGAGTATTGCCTCCCATCTACGTACACCTCGGTTTAAATACCTGTAAGTCATACAGTGGCATCATTAACAAAATAAGAGACAATAGAAAAGCGGGGAACACTGTGGTATTTATTAAAAAACGGGTGCAGATGGTGCAGATGGTGCAGACTGAGTGCCCAAGTCTGCCATGAGAGCAACAGTTTTAAAGAGTATTTTGTTTCTTTAGTTTGTCCAAATACAATAATAACGTGAAAGCTACTGCTAGAATCCCAGCCTGGTAAATTCTGTCTGCTGACTGTGTGAAAAAAGGTTTTCATTGATTCAATTTTAAACAAACCATACCCTGATTGGGCCAGGAGTACCATCTCACATTCGCTTCTCAGTCTTTGGTTTGCGAGGGGGCATGGCCATTTGATGCTGCGTTCAATGCACCTCTGATTTACCACTATCTACATTCGGTTGCGATTTAAAAGTGAGTATAATTCGGCAGCCGCCGCTCGATATGCTAACTAGGCTAACAGCAGCATTTTATAATACGGTATAATGCAACACTTCACAAGATAGCATTTTTAATTAAAAGAGAAATAGCTCGTTCGAATACTGTTTTGTTATACTTATTAAATCCATAGACCTAATTTATCTAGTCTGATTGTTATCTTAAATAATGTTTTCTTTCCATGTATTAGCCACAGAAAATCATTTTAAACATAATTATACAACTAATTATGCTGAGATAAAAGCGCGACATTTCAAGAGAACTTTCATCTTTACCATTTTCTACTTTAACTTGAACACAACGAAACGGGTCACCATCACCCGCTGACGTCAGACGTGCGTGCAGTGGTAGTTACATCACGCAGGAGCCGGCTATTTCCTTTATACAGTGTACGTGCGACCAGTGGCTCGTTAAGACTCCTAAAACCTCCTCTGGATAATAATTTTAAAGTCCATTTAACAGCAACTCACTCCTCACACAGGTAAGAGTAACTTCGGTATTTGTGGCGTTATACTTAGGTCACAAGTTACAACCACAGTCCTCGCTGTCAATTATTTAATTCCTTTGAGTGTTTCTTGTTCTTTGGCCTTTTGACCAAACTGTTTAACCACTGAAAATACTGTCATTTATCCTTGCACAAGGGTTTATGTTTCTTTCAAAACGCCGGATGTTTGGTGATTTAGGCCTAAACATGAATGTGACGTCTCTCTGTCCTTCATACGTAACCTCTGAGCTGCTCCTGTGGTGTTAACCTCAGCTGTGAACATTGAGTAACACACCTGCTGTGTAAGAATTAAAACAGTTATCGTTTTATTTACTGGGCTTCAACTTATATCTACAACTGTAGCACAGTTTAGAGTTGAACAGTTGCTTTAATGAAACCCTTCTCCTCCTTACAATGGATGAATGAGCTAACATGCTATGTTATGAAAACCATCTAATAGACAGCATTACTGTACCTAACTTTTGTTTAAAAATGTTTTCTCTCTCTTTAGTCAAAATGTCTGATTATGAAGAGAATGAGTCCAAGTTCCTGCGAAAAGCAAAGGAAAATCCATTTGTCCCAGTGGGTGAGTAGGCTGCAACTTGTGTCCTTACAGGGTTACATCATGTGGGGGAAAGCTGCCTGGGTTTTGTTAGAAAAACTTGTAACAAAACTGTATTGTCCGAGAGCATGCTGTTGAATGCTTCTAAATGTTTCCAGTATTTGGTTTCAACTTAACCACCCTCATTTCGTCTTAATTGGTCAACTAAGTATAATGATTTTGTCCTTTTGGTCCTATGCAGGAATGGCAGGATTCTTTGCCATCGTTGGGTACAGACTGCTGAAAATGAAAAGTCGCGGCGATACGAAGATGTCAGTTCACCTGATTCACATGCGTGTGGCTGCTCAAGGATTTGTAGTTGGAGCCATGACAATTGGTGTGCACTGAAACTGATGACACATTTCTGAATTGATCTTAGTGAGTTAGTACATTATGTTTTAAGTAGATTATAAAGACTGTGATTTAACTTGCCTCCTTTTTTCTGTTTTCAGGGGTCATTTATTCAATGTACAGAGACTACATCGTCAAACCCAGAGAAGAGCAGAAAGCAGTCACACAAAAATAACACGGACTCTTGCCCTGATAGTTTATGTCCCTTAATATTACCTCATATTAAGGTGTGTAAACCCTTTTATTTTATTAGAGATGTGTCATCATTTTTGTATGAACATGTCCTTCGCCACCTAACCTTTTACTGTATATATTTATAACTTATTGATTACAGTTCCTGTCTTTAAGATAGTGTACCAGATGGTCAAGCCATCATTCCCGTAATGAAAATAAGTTGTATTGACACGGCTGTTTTTACAGTGGTTGCACTCTGTTGATTTGCAGCTGTAAAGCTCCCTGGTGTGCTATCACTGTGGACAGGTGACATGATATGATACAGAGTTCTGCTGCCTTTCTTTTTAATGTGAGTTAGATATGGAAGTAAAACAGTTTGAGGAGGCTCAGTAAAGATATAAACAGCAATAGCAGAAAGTGTTTTTTTTTTTCTCCGTCACTGTTGTTGTATTCTTTTGTATACTAATATAGGAACTTTTGCCAAATTAAGAATACTTGCACCTTAGGCTATTTTTAGATGTGAATGCCTGAGCATTGGGGGGGGGGGGGCATGATACTGATGGCCTTGATAATATCTGGTCTTATGAAAGCCTTATAACTGATTTTAATTACACTATCAGATTATCACACAAAACAAATGTATGAATAGAAAGTAATGTAATTTTCCACAATGTTGGAAACTCCCATCAAACAAAACCACAAAAGTGTTGGTAGAAATAAAGCAAGTGGTTCAGTGACTGGTCTTTGAATATATTGATTTTAAAGGCCAGGTCCTTTTTTATAATATCATTATTCGTGGCACAAAGGGGTCCAACGTTTCATTACATCAGCTTCACATCTTCATGTGATGTGCCAGCTAAACTGAGGTACAACTAGACTTTTTGACAGTTTGAATATCATGCTGTACAGTCATCTTGTAATATATAATGCCTCATTACATCCTTCACAAAGTTGAGTTTACTTGATCTGTAGCATATTAAAGGATATTTTTGAAGGTTTTAAAATTTTCTTTGAAAATAAAAAAAGCGTCTCGTCATTCTGACACGGCGTTATCATTTTGAAACCTCTCCATGTTGCACTGAAATGTCTTTTCACCATTAAAGCGTATTTCTTATACAAACGCTAAGATACACTCGTATGCCTGTTCATTTTGATTTTGTCTATTTTGTGTTACACGTACCTCTCAGTACAACAGCACTGCAAACGACAGCCTCAGAAATAACCTGAAGTTCTCTTTTATCACTCTCTGAACAGTTAAAAGGTTGACATAAAATCTGTTGTACCGATTGGAATTTTTTTGATGATCTTGTATTACTTTAAGTTAGGTGTGCCTACAAGAAGTAAGACACGTTTAGTGCTCATTTTATTGTGCACTAGTAAGTTCCAAACAATAAAACCCAATCACATTTTAAAACATTTCCCTACCACTCCCATCAAATACGACGTATCTGCTCGGGTCACTGTGTATTCTACCACAGATCTTATCTAAACAGGAAGTACATCGTCAACTTTTAAGATACCAGAATTCACTTGAGGGTTGGGTCATTAACTCTGGAACTTCTGTGATTGCAAAATAGGTCTTTTACTCATGAGGATGTCAATGACTGTAATTGAAATCCAGGAAACACTGAAATTGTCTGGTGACACTGCATCTTTGCTCACATATAATGCAACTGGAGGTTACATTTATTTCATGTGTTAAGTTGTTTAAAATGATACTTGAGAAAACTCCGTATGCCTATTTGCAGATTATATGCCAAATCATACTAATGAAGGTTATCTCTTACCTCCAAACCCGGTGTGAAGAATCACTGAGGCGCTTGAGAAGCTCCACAGGGGTCACTATCAAATGATAAACAATCACTTTCAGTTTAATTGTTCTTTTTTTCATGGGCAACATATTGTATTGTTCAACATGAACAAAACAAAAACACAGTCTCACCTTTGACAGTTACTGTTTTGTAGAGTTTTCTCCGATTTCTCTTGTGGATATCACACAAAGGGCTTGTCTTCAGTTTATAAGCTACATCTCCCAGGATAAATAGTCTCACATCACTAAATGATCTTTTTCACTTACATTTGTGAGGTAAAAGCAAAAGATAAAACATCGATAACACTTAGAGCTTCATAAGTGATGCTTTTAGCTAACTTTCCAACTTTTCAATATTCAACAAAAAAAAAAAAACATGTAGCTCTAAATCTAATCGTATAACCTTTACATTTTATACATTAAAAAGCATGTTGCCTTTTATGTTATCTACACTTCACACATCTAAGCCTTCTGTGGCAGGCTAGTAAAAATTAAAAGTGTAACATTTTCCAAATAATGAAATAACTTTCCAACTCTCCCAACCTTTTCAATTATTTGCAAAATTAGGAAGAAGTTAAGAGAAAACATACTTAATGTGTAAAATGTAGGGGGAGGAATTGACAACAAATAAATAAATAAGTGCCCGGTGAAAGGAAACTCGCTCTTTTGTTCCCGTGACTACAGTCTTGCTCCCGCGAGATTACCGTCCAGGGCCTCTTGTCTACCGTTGCCTAGGACACAGGAGCGTCGCAATCAGCGAGAAAGCCACTGAGTGTCTCTGGGCAGAACAACATCTAATTTGTTTACAAGGGTGCTAAACGGATAAAAGACAGGTGAGCTGTTTTCTCATTATACAAGTTAAACTGAAGACACTTGGTGAGGAGTTTGAAGACTTTTAAAACTGTTCTGAGAGATAAGCGTCGCAACGTTTTGCACTATGGTGTTGTTTCATAGTCATAGCCAAACCTGCTCACATCTTGTGAAATTTAGACTACCACTGGATTCATCATAAATAACCTTAAACCTGACAGAGGGTTCCTTGTTTTTGCAGTGGTTCTACCTCCACAAACATGAAAAACTAGGGCGTGTATTGGGCTATAAGAGGCTATAACTTTTCCACTGAAATGCTTTTAATGTTAAAGCAAGGGTTATGCAGTTTCTTTTGATTTACTAAAGCAGAAGAAGTGACTTAAACTTTATAATTTCACTTCACTGCAACCCTCGAAAGCGTGCATATCATCAAATTTCCACGTAATTAGGATTACCAGTTCCCTCACAACTAGAATCAGAATCATAATTTTTATTGCCAAGTAGGCACCTACGAGGAATTTGTCTTTAGTAGTCCCAACTTTGTTCTCTGCACCCTATATCATTAATTCATTTTTTTTATACTTAATAACCCATTACATTCTTCTTTTGTTTAAAAACAAAGATCATGGAGCATGAGGATGAACTGAATAATTTGCGGCTTCAGTTCCAAGAGCTGCAAAAACAGCAGGAGAGACGAAAACTGGAAAGGAAAAAGGAGAAAGAACATGTTGAGCTTAATGCCAGTGCTAACCAGGATGATTTGGATTTATCGAAGCAAGGAATCCAGGTAGACAATGTTGAAAACAGGTGAGTAAGAGGTATAATTTTTATTAATTTAAAAAGCACATTAGAGTTATTGTTTAGAGTATTAAAGGTTCACTATGGAGATTTGGTAGTGAATTTTAAAAGTTGGAGAAGTGAAACAATTCTATGCTATATTTTCTGAACTGAATACACAAACTTTACTCACAGACAAAAATGGGTGCCTGGAAAACTGTTTAGAGCTTAAAGGCTCCCTGGAGAGTTCTGGTTTCACTGGGCCTCCCCACCACAACTCCTGACATAGCATTTTATTTTAAACAGTGTTACAGGGACTACATTTCCCTGAGGACAGTTTGTGTTTAGAGTTATGGACATATACCAAATAATCTGTACACTGCTCCAACTTTCACATTGTACTCTACCAAAACTCCACAGTGCTCTTTAATCACATAGACTTGCATTAATAATCTTGAATAAGTGTGTTTTTAGATTGCATTACCCTCATTTAGTGTTTGTTTACATAACTTTCATTTAGACTGCTGCAGAATGAGAATGAACATTTGCTTGACGAGCTGCGAGGACTAAAGGATGAAAATGGTCGGCTCTTCAAGCTCGTCAGTGAAAAGGATTTTGAAATCAAACACTTGAAGAAGAAAAGAGAAGAAGAACGACTGGCTTTCACAGGTACACCATATAACCTTCATTTATGTTGCACTGCAGTGATGTTGTAGTTACTTCAGAGTTTCCTCTTCACTCATCCACTTGTCCTTTCAGGCACATCAGGCTTGGCAGGCGATAAAGCAGCCACCAAGATTGTCGAGCTTTCCAAAAAGAATAGAGAGCTGAGTGCTGAAATAGAGCGCGAAAAGATTAAATCCAAGCAAAACAGCAACAGAATCAAAGATCTTGAGAAAGAGGTAAAGTTTTGATTTAAATGCATCATTTGCATTTGATTTTTAGGAGGAATGATTATCTTATATGGACACTCTCAGTTTGAACAATATGGAATTTAATAATGGATATTATATGTAGTGCATAAAGAAAAATATATAACTGATGTTCCTTTCTGTAGCTGCAAGATGCTTTGGTTAACTCAACGCCTGTGAAAAAGAGTGACGAGAAGTCACAGAAGAAGAACTCCTCTGAAGACTGTGAGGTAATTATTAATGTAGAAATCAACCATGAGTAAAGTTCTTTGCGTTCCCAACTTTGAAGAATGTATCTTAAACTGAATATTTTCACACAGCAGGAAAATCCAGTGGTGAAAAGTCTACAAGAAAAACTAGCTGCTGCCCAGCTGAAAGTGATCGAGTATCGCAACCAGATTCAATCTGTCAAGCAGGAGTTGAAAGTCGCTCACAAGGTAATCATCAGGTAGCTGTGGAGAAACCAATTGTGCATGATTTTAAAAGTATCCAATGGTAAATATGTTGAAGCCCAGTGCATTGTTGTCATGGTTTCATGATTCTTTCTGAGTGAAATGCAGTTATGACAGCCTTTCATGGCATCAGAAGGAACGTTTTTCCTTTGTATGTCCATGCATTAGATTTATTAATTACTGTCTGGATGGTAAGATCATTTCAACACATATAATGGATGCTTGTAAAACATATGACCTTTTCTAGCTTTAAAAACCTTTGTTTTAAAATGTAAACTGCTATTGCTGCTGTAGGTTTTGATCAATGAAGTCGGAGAGGAGGTCAATTTTCTGCAATTGCTTAACTGCCCAGGAAGCTTCAGAGGTCGCTCCCAGCAGATCCTGGCTCTCCAGACGAGAGTAAGAAAGGAATCAAATCAAAAGTGTTGTATATCTTTGTATAGCACGTTACAAAGTAAGTAAGCCGAAATACAAACTGACACAATTGTGCAACAGGTGAGGGACCTCGAGCAACAGCTGAACCAGTCGACCCAGCGAAGGCAGCCAAGTGTCCTCAGTGTAGAGGAAGAGTTTCTGGGCATGGGGGTCCTGCAGAAAACCCCTCCTCAAGACAGGAACCTCAGCTACATCCGCTCCATGGAGAAGGAGAAGAGAGAAGCTTTTGAGGTGTGTATACAGCAAGTGTATTTAAATTAAAGCAAGAATTTGTATTTACTAAGGCAATATTTCCTGAATTGCGAAGAGGATCTCATCTGACTATGAGGCCCTCCTGAAAGACCACGAGGATGTGAAGAAAAAGCTGGAAGCTTCTAAAGCCAGGAACAAATCTCTGTCTGCTGAAATGAAATCTCTGAAGGTCCAGATATCCACCCTCCTGGACAAGGGACAACATGATGACGAGCTCGTGGCTGCTCTGCTGGTGAGGAATCATAGCATATAAATGTGTACTTTTAATATGAACACACCCACAGTACTTATTATTTTCTTAATTGAAGGTTATGTAGAAGAGGTATAGAGCAAGTATGCCTACATTTACAATAATTATGTCAAGCACTTCTGTGATTCATTATTTTAGACAGAAAAAGCACTCTGTTTTAGATTGATCACAGTGTGAAATGTTCTTTCAAACTGCAGAAACTGGAGTCATTTTTTTCATGAAACAGAAACAAACATATTGTTACAATATTACTTTAAAAATATAATAATGTACTTTTTTTTTTCTTTCCTTTTTTTAACTTTGCACCACAAATTAACTATGGAATTAAGGGTAGAAAAATCACATATACAGGTTTAAATACACCACAAATGAGAGGAAGAAGGCTTTTCTGTATAACCCATTGTTCACAATTTACCTTCCCATATACTGTAAACTTCTGGCAGAAGCAGCAGTCCCAGATGCAGGACGTGTTGAAACAACTCAGCCAACAGCAGAGTGTAGAGAGCAAAAACACCCAGCCGATCCTAAAACCCCAACAGCGCAGTGAGTCTTCAGAGCACAGCACTGTTGTCAAGAAACTTAAGGAGATGGTTGATCTGAAAGATGCCAGGATCAAAGAACTAGAGGAGGAAATGCAGCAGCTTCCCTTCAAGGTAATTAAAGAATTATTAAAGCCAAATGATATGTAAACTCGCCTCACAGGAGTTTGAGCTGAGAAGTTCAGTCCACTCAAACATTCCTCTGTCATTCACATGGACTGTACGCATGCTGTTGCAGGAAGAGGGCAGTGAAAGACAATCCATCCTCAGGACACCAGTCTGCAGCTCAGGATTTCCCCCTGAAGAGGGTGACATTAACAAGAGAATGACATCGTCAGGGTATGTGAGCTATACTTGTATTAATACTGAATGAGCTGGAGTTTGAATATTGTTTGTTTACTTACAAGCATTTTTTTAATGATGGCCTTTCAAGACTGTTAATCTTATGTATATATCACTTTTGCTAGCTGCTACTGTAAGACTGGAAATCTTGTCTGGCAACACAAGGGTCATTCTGGCTGATGGGACTGATTGTAAAAAGTTGTTTGTGTTGTTTCCTGCCTCACAGCTTTGACAGTGTATCCTATTGGGATTTCTGTTAACATGACTGACTTTTTTCCCCAGGTCTGTCTCTAAATTTGGTCATAAACTAGTGCTGCCTGCTGTGGGAAGCAGGGTAGAAATTAAGTAAGTGGAAAAAAAAGATACTGTGGTTTTTTGGCACATCTGTTACATATCTACTCACACGCTGCTGTGTAATGACTCAACAGCAAACTTTTAGTTTAATGCCGTATCCTCTGTTCTTAGGACTTCAAGCTCTTTAAAATGTCCACAATGTTCAGCTGATGTGAACGCGCTGATGACGCATTGTGAAGAATATAATACACTTTATACAGAGAATGACTGACTGGTTAAGACCATACACGCAAAGTAAGATTTTTCTCCATTATGTTTCTTTCGATTCAAAATGTTTAAATGTTAATGCATTTTTACTTCAAGCCCACGCACATATTGTTTTTACCTTTAGCAGTGCAGGATTGTTATAGTTCAAGTAGTTCATTTAATTCCTGTGTTGAGTCAAAATCATGATTCTTGAGTGCAATAAAAGTTTTAGTATTGAAATATTTATTGTAATTTTGCCAAATTCTAGCATTAAGTTTGAAGTCAAAGCAAACCACATCTTTTTCCTTCACTAAGTCATATTGAATGTGGCTAAATCTGAGATGTCTGATGGATTATTGTGTTATTTTCTGTATAAAAGCATTATCCAACCCATCCTCCTCTACTGCTCACCCTGTTTCTTCAACATGCTAACTGTTGCAAACAAAAATAAACTCACCCGTATCTCAAGTATTGCTTGAAAAATCATTTGTCTGCCCACCCAAAACCTCTCGCATCTCAACTACAAAGCCCTGACACACAGAGCACTCAACATATTCCAAGACCCCCTCACCCACTCAATCCACTCCTCTCTTTTCTGCCATCAGGTCGGAGATACAGGACTCTGACTTGGAAGAGGGCACGTTCTAAAAAGAGCTTTTGTTCCCTCGGCTATTAAAGCTCTTAATAAACTTGCTGACTGGCTCCTTTCATTTTTTATTTGTTTCTTTGTTTGTTTATATGTCTCTTCCCTGTGCTATGTGCTTAAATATGTATACCTGTGTACAAACTGTGCAAGGCTGTGACAACAAAATTCCCCTTGGGGACAATATAGTATGGTATTGTATTGTAAATGATACATGAAATATAGGCAAATGTTTTTTATTTGAAAAAAAGAAAAGTAAGTAAATCTGACTTTACATGCATCTATTTCCATCTGAGGTTTCATAAGTCAGTCCAATCCTCATCAACAGAAATGTCATTCATTATTTCAACTCATTACCGGCTGTGAGAGACGTTAAATCTTTCAGGGACACAGAGATGAAACAGAAGCTTTTGGAGGCTGAACAGAATTACCTGGAGGCGCACCACCGCAAGATAGTGATCCTGGAGCAGCAGCTGGAGAGGACCGAATTAGACCCAAAGTAAGGGCTGTGCAGGCAGCAAGGTTAGAACTTATACGTCAATGCTATGTGACAGCATGATGTAACAGTTCCTAACAGTTACTAAAAGCCTTCACTCATGAAATTCCCACTGGTCTGTGTTGTCTGTGGTAACTGGTGATTACTATTTCTACCCTCAGGAGCAGTGTCCCTTAGAGCAGGTTGGCAGGAGTCTCTGAGCAGCAGTGACTGTCCAAAGAAAAACTGAATACAATACGGCCAACAAATCTTTTACAATGATTTATTTTCATCTTTGCAACGCCATTGGTTTCTTCTGCAAAAGAGGAAGATTTCATTTTTTTCCAAGAATCAAAAGTTACATCACATAAATAATGATGCATGTCAATGGTTACTCTGCCTACAGACAGAGCGCATCCTGACCTTCATGTCTGGGCTGCACATGGCGCTCATGCTCTTGTATGTCGTCTCCTGGCTGGTCATTCAGCTGGAGGAAACAAAGGCACTCAGGGCATCGCTACAGAGCGCTCTCCACCGTGACCTGCGGCCCGGCTGTGACGTGATGAAACAAGTCAAGCGTGTTTTTTTTTTTTCCTCTGCAGGCTCTGTGACAGCCCAGACAAGACACTAAGCAGGGGAAATGGGCTGGTTCCTGCTCAGCATCACATCCAGCAGAGCTCTACCTTCTCCTGTCACTGTGACACACAGCAGGCTGCAGGAAACAGGCTCCCCTTCTCTGCCACACGGACATCATATAGGTCCCCTCAAAGGGGGTTTGTGATGGCTCCTTTGTGCATGCCGTGACCTCAGTTTAACCACTTGAGTACCTTAGATAGCAGTGGATTTCAACTTAACCCTGATTGCATCATAAGACAAGTGCTCTTGCTGATTACACAAATGGATGATGTTGATAGGATGTCTCAATGTTTCATATCTTATCTGCTCGCTGTTTTAAAAATGTCACTGTCACCTTTTATTAAATCTTTGGATGTCTTTATGATGCCGGGAGCCAGGTAAAGAAACCAACAACGTCTTTTTAACGGTTTGCTGAAGCATCTGACATTGAGTTTAATCAATGAAAAGGTCAAATCTTCCAATTTCTAATGTTTTTGTTGTTGTTGTTTTTTTTTTTTTACATCCAGATGGTTGCCAGGAATCTTACAGCTAGTCAAAACAGTAAAGAAAAAAAAGTCTGTAAAGTTTCCAAATATTCCTTTTTAATATAGCTGCTAATCAATTCTGACTTGAAACCAGCTACATGGGAATAGTGGTTGTAAATGAATGCGGACTCAAGCTGCACAAACTCCCACTGTAGTCCTCCATACACTCCCCAGAGCATGTCACATATATGTACAGTGTGTGATTTGAACGCTTCTTAATCTGAAGGTTGTCTGGTTATGCCAAGCCCCTACATTTACACTAACATCCGAGTTTTTTCTTCCAACGTAGCCAAAAGGATTTCAGCAGAACCCCCCCCCCCCCCCCTCCACATCACGCTTAATTTAAAACCATGGCTGAGTTAGTGTGCTCCTTCAAATACCGCACTATTTCTTCCAGGAGCCTGTGGGAGATTGGCAGGTCCCCATTGGACTGAGCGAGAAAGTGCCACAAGACAAAAATATCAGAGTTTGGACATGATGAAGAAAGCCTTTATGCTCAGAGTAACAAAAAACAGCTTGTGTTGAATACCTCCTGGATAGAAGGTGAGGCCTGCTTTAATGTAGTCGAGTGGGATGTGTCATTGGAGGAGCAGATGTGATAACTTCAGCCTACTTAGCCCACAGGATGGCCAAATGTGGATCAAATATAGCAATATGCGCCAGGAAGGGTGTTGATGGAGCAAATACTTGTCATGGTCCCTTACCATATCTGATTCCAGGGAAAATGTTTAACTTAATACAATTTCATTTGGTTGTTTTTTTTTTTTCATCTTCCATAACACAAGCTCATGTGTGTGTGTGTGTGTGTGTGTGTGTGTGTGTGTGGGAGAGAGAGAGCATGTGGATGTTTTCCCAAATGTGTAACCTCAAGCTTTTTTTGGAACATGTGTAGTTGATAGGATCAAGGCCAATATAAACAGCAATTGGATATTAAATACAGTTTGTTTCTGTTCATTACTAATTAGTAATTTCCGTGAAAAACCAATGTTGACACAGATTAATTGGACCACTCGTGTTTGCTTCAGTGATTAAAGAGTGTCATCACTTTCAAATAAATTGCACTTCAACAAACAATTTTAATATTGTTTTATGTAGCTGGATTACGCAGAGAGGTGTAGATTTATTCCAAAATGCCCAATAACCCACCAAACCAAACACAAACTTATGTAAACACAGCATACGTAAACAGCCTCACCTATTTGTCATTCCAGGTTTGAATGACTCCTTTCTCCATCCTTCTCCTCAGAGGTATTCCCTCGTTCTGGACCGATGCTTCCTGCAGACCATTGACTGCATCCAGAAACTAAAGTAAATAGTGGAGCTGTGAACGCAGAGGTTAAAGTTAGCCATCAGTATATGAGGGATCTGTGAACTTTACTCAGGCCAGAAAACGGTTTCTGCCCTGTATGAGTCCATTCATCTCTCGGTGCCTCTCATTTACATGTAATGGAAAGAAAATAAACAGTGAGCGCCTAATGTGCTCATTTACAGTAAGTAGAAATCAAGTAATGAGTTGTTATCTTTGCTGAGACAGAGGCTGGAGCAGTCATGAGCACTTGTTTCTTTCTTCTTCTTTTTTTTTGGAAAGTGAGTTGAAGATAAAAGTCTGCAGGATGAGTGAAGCTGCTGCTGACACTTTTATCCAAAACCAGTCGTGGAGGTGTCCACCAAAGTCGCCAACATTGATGAGAACACTTCAGTCAGCAGATTGTCTGATCTTGATTTTACTCTTGCTCCCTTATTTCATTCTTTTGAAGTCATATTTACTTAATTTCAAAAATGTCTCTGCTACCAGTTTGCTTTTCAGGTTTTACAGTGAGAGCATCTTTGGAAATTTAAGCAAATGTGAACACAGGTGACATGAGACTGCAGTGTGTTTGTCATGTATTGTTAGTAGCTTTTGATGTGTTCTGCTGGCAGCCTTTTACTTGTAGATATCCTGCATTTGTTATCCTAACTGCAGAACCAAAAACTGCCAGTAACAGACATAAAATCAGCTGAATATATTGTACAGCAATGCTCTACAGTCTATTCAATACAGCACATTTTAATTGCCATCATGTTGACCCTATTGGTTTTTAATCAATAGTCGGTAAAGAAAGGTGGCCTTCCTGCTTCTGGAAGTGATGAGGTGTATAGAAATGATACATTAGCTTATAGAGACTGTCCTTCCTCTTCAAATTATGCAAGAAGAAAATAAAATCAATTGCTCTTGATTGCAAAAATACAGGATAAATACTAGTAATGACTTTACAATACAATCTAACGGCTGTGCTTTTGTTAGTCCATAAAAAAAGCAATGCAAAGAGCACAAAATAACTCCAAAACACTCTGAAAGAATGGCTTGGAGTTTCTTGAAAACTATTCTCTTTGGACCCAACATAGCACCTTGCAGTCTTTGCCCTCCATGTCCTGTTTCAAAGACTGCTTCCTCTCCAAAACACAGTAACTGCCAATATTGACTGTGTGTTCGTCCTCACCTCACCCTCACCTCTCGGAAGAGAGAACAATTTCCTGACTCCAAATTGAAAAAGCTCTCCAAAACCATCAATATTTTCTTGCAACACTCCATCTCATATCTGATGGTCCCCAGGCAGAAAAATCCCACTCATGACTGTTGATATTGTTGCATTTTAATGCACAGAGTACATTAAGACATGCCTTATTTATTTATATCCAAAAATGCACCGGAGCTGGATGTTTGACTCACTGGCTGTGACATGAGTTTCAATCACCACTGGTGCAGATGTCCTAAGGGTTTTTTTCAGCCAATGGGAGGGTATGTGCCTTAAAGAATATAATTGTTTTACAGAGCTTTTGACACGTACACCAGGCGCATTGACCTTTCACTCAAGATGCAATATGTTGCCTTCTGGAGATGAGTGCATGAGTGCCTCTTATCTCAGGATGCTTGAGATAAGAGGAGATGCTTCTGTTTGATTTTACCCTTACCTGATATTTCACAGCAGAGAGAGAGAGAGAGAGAGAGAGAGAGAGAGAGAGAGAGAAAGAGAGAAATAATTGGGGGAGACAAAAGGGGATGACACACCAGCTGAGCCACCTCTGGGCTTCTTACTGCTGACTGAAACTCTCTCTCTCTCTCTCTCTCTCTCTCTCTGTGCCTTAGGAATATAATGTGTGACTCTTTGTTTTGACACAACAAATACATCCACTATTTAGTACTTAATGGGTCCTCATTATGTCTGAACAGAATTTCCAAATAGTAATATTATGAGTGGGCACATGCAATCAGAAACTGTGTGACCAAATATAGAAAAACAAGGCTCTCAGATATTCCATGTTTTGAAGCTCTACAAAAAATCCTAAATGAGTTGTATTATTAAAACAGCCACCACCCAAATTAAAACTATACACATAATTATTTATTCATTTATTCATACATCCTGAGCAAACT